GAAAGAGAGAGGAGAAAGAGAGAGAGAGAGAGAGAGGAGAAAGAGAGAGAGAGAGAGAGAGGAGAAAGAGAGGGAGAGAGGAAGAGAGAGAGAGAGAGGAGAAAGAGAAAGAGAGAGAGGAGAAAGAGAAAGAGAGAGAGAATTAAAGAGAGAGAGAGAGGATTAAAGAGAGAGAGAGTAGAAAGAGAAAAAGAGAGACAGCGAGAGTCAGAGAAAGAGAGAGAAAATGAGCGACAGAGATTAAGTAAGAACCGCCTGCATCCTGTGTGGACCTCGTTTGCCGACACAGTTCGCCCTCTCGCCTCCCTTCGGCTGTTTCTTCTGCCTCTAGTCTCAACTTCGCCTCACTCTCGGCTCGCTCTTTTCCCTCGCCTCACCCTTAGGCTCACTCCTTCGCCTATCCTCACCCTTAGCTCGCTACCCTCGGCTCACCCTCGCCTCGTTTCTTGGCCTCACACTTCGCCTCGCCTCACTCTTGGCTCACTACTTCGTCACCTCGCCTCACCCTTAGCCTCGCCTCATCTCTGGCTCGTTCCCTCGCCTCACCCTTTGCCTCACCCTCGGCTCACTCCATGCCTTCAGCCCTCGCTCGCTCGCCTCACCCTTTGCCCCACTTTTGCCTCGTTCCTTTGCCTCGCCTCACTCTTTGTCTCACCCTTGCCTCGCCTCACTCTTGGCTCCCTCTTTGGCCTCACCCTTGCTCCCTATTCATCTTCTTCCGATGGGAGAGAGAGACAGTTTTAGTAAATATCATTAATTCCTCCTCCTTCCGCCTCCTCTTCTTCCTCCTTCTTCTTTTTCTTTTTCTTTTTCTTTTTCTTTTTCTTCTTCTTCGTCGTTTTCTTCTTCTTCATATTCTTCTTCTTTTTCTTCTTCTTCTTCTTCTTCTTCTTCTTCTTCTTCTTCTTCTTCTTCTTCTTCTTCTTCTTCTTCTTCTTCTTTCTTCTTCTTCTTCTTCTTCTTCTTCTTCTTCTTTCTTCTTCTTCTTCTTCTTCTTTCTTCTTCCTCCTCCTCCTCTCCCTCCTCCCTATAGCCAAAACCCGAAAGCACACATAACGAAGTCTACGGTAACTTCTTTTACAGCAACTAATGAAAATTTAAATAATAATATTAACCAATAACAAATACTAGAACAATGAATGGAAAAAAAAAATTATATACAAAAATTAGTGTCATAACTCATCCAAAAATCGAATCGAAACGTGGATATCGAGGAATGAATATGAAAATAACATAAAACTCACATTATTCAACATTCAACATTCATTAATCTATCAATTTTATTAATAGCTTGATCATTTTCCTCTCGTTGTTTTTTTTTATCATCTTTCTCTTCTTGTACAATCGTCAATCCTATTTTACTCTTTCTTCTGATTTCTTTTTCTCTCTTCATTCACTCCTTCTGCGTCATCATTTACTCCTTCTTCTAATTCCATCTTCGTCATCACCGTTCACACCCTTTCGCCTCCTCCGAATCCCTAATTAGATTAACCTTTGTAATTGAAGTCATCTCGAAGGAAAACGAACGCATGCCTCATTCTCACGACGAGTCGGAAGAAATTTTATTAATGACTAAGTTCCTTCTTTTTTCTTTCTTACCAAATTTTAAAAAGGAGAAAAAACAATTACTTGATTAATCATTAAATGGAGATGAAAATTAGAAGAAGAAAAAAAAATCCTCGACGATAGACAGCGGAAGTGGCAACATTCTCTTAAGACGAAAGGTCACCTTTTATGAGTTGCTGTTTGGGTTATCACAACTCGTAATGATAAAGGAAATGTTAACAAACCCAGCACTGGGAATTATATAACAAAAACATTGTGTCATTCATTCAAAGCAAATGCTAACAGGTCCAATGCTAGTATTTATATAACAACATTTATTGTCATTCATTCAATGGAAATGCTAAAAAATCCGACGCTAGGATTTATATAACATATATTATGATAGTCGTCAATGTTGTGTATGTTATAACTATATTACCAGTGTCACTAAGTTTATACTACGTTATTATTATTACTATTATTATTATTATTATTATTATTATTATTATTATTATGCATTATCATTATCATTGCTATTATTACCATTAATAATCGCTACATAATTGGAGAAATAGAGAGAGAGAGAGAGAGAGAGAGAGAGAGAGAGAGAGAGAGAGAGAGAGAGAGAGAGAGAGAGAGAGAGAGAGAGAGAGAGAGAGAGAGAGAGAGAGAGAGAGAGAGAGAGAGAGAGAGAGAGAGAGAGAGAGAGAGAGAGAGAGAGAGAGAGAAAGAAAAATGATTCTGGAACACCTTCTGATTGCATCTTTTGGTCTGAGAGTGAAATTACATCTCTGAATCAGAAACTAACGACAAACATCTCATAAAATACTGTAAAAAAACACACAGAAAAAAATACATATACACGCATTTGTACACACTGAAATCAAAGCAAAATGTATACCTGTTCACTGAAGATTAACAGTTGACACAATTCTATTTCTTCTTCTTCTTCTCT